CAGTTGCTTAGCACCGAGTCAAATTCCATGTATATGCAAACGCCCTTCATTGAAACATGATTTTGTGAGGTTTTTTATTCTTGTTTTTGTTTAGTTGTTAAGATTTCTGTTAAGATTTACTGACTACAGATTAGCCATTTGCTACTGCTATTTTCTGTCAAGGCTTTCTATGGTGATTTTTCTCCTCTGTCCCCTTCTATATCCCAATTACTTGACTGATTTTGGTTTTCTTTTGCAGATAATGAGAACTAAAACATTACATAAACTGTAATGCACGTATGTTTTACACAGAACTACAGGAAGTTATATATAATCTGTAGATGAGTTGTTTAAACATTTGGCAAATCATGTTTAATTTATATTATTAATTCTCAAAAATTGTTGATGAAATAGGCTCATGTACATAAGGAAATTTTCACTTTCTCAATCAATACATCAAAAGCAGTATTCCAGCTTGATAGGGCAGGTATGTGTTTTCTTTTTGAAGTTAATGCAGCTGCAAGTATCGTACTCCAACTGACTTCTCAAAGACTGCAGGCATCCCAAAGAGAGCAGGATATATTTTTAGCTTCTTAAATTTAAGTTCCTAACAAACATTCTCCCTCCACCTCATTTTGGAGACAATGACTCAGACAGACAGTTATTATAGAAAATTACATACCAAAATAGAAGGTAAAAATAAGGTGCATAATATTAGTCTAATAATGCATGTCTCTGCTACTCTTCAGTTTCTGGAAATAATCCTTTCTATACAAGCCAGCCACAGATGCAGAAGTAGGATATTCCCCCTATTTAATGCAAATTGTGCATTGTCACATATGCCTTCAGAGTACCCACAGTTACTAGTTACTTCAGAACTTTTTTTTTTAATCATGGTTCAAACGTATCTTTATTACTGAAAAATTGCAATGTTAAAAATAAGTAAAAATCTTCATTAAAGATCTATTTTATAAGGGATTTTAGTACCTATTTGCTATTTTTATGTTAACAAAGCATAACAATTAAAGATCACTTTAGATTGCACCTAGAAAAGTCATGAAGTGCTTCAAAATGTATCAATACTTTTAAGAAGAGAGAACTCTTCCTCATTTGTGACTCTATGCTATAAACTTTGCAGTTAACAATGCTGTTTAATATGCAAGACTGCAAATGAACATGAAACTACATAGATGACATAATTTTATAGACATTTAAGGATTATACCATCCTGTGAGGCAAACCTCCCTTCTTCACAATAAGGTAAATTTATGTTTTGTAAAATGTTCAAACTGCTTTGAAAATGCTTATGAAAGATGACAGATTTTGCATTGCTAAGAAGGTGAGGTCTTCCATTTTAAAATGTCACCACTGGGCCAATTAATTTATACATTTTTGTTAGTTCCCATTTCCATATTAATTGTATATGATTCAGTGTTCCAAATTTAAACTGTCGGTTACCTTTCTGTGTCTGCTGCCATCCAGCACCCTTATGAGAAGCACCATGGCTACCATTTTAGGCATTTCTTCTGTTTCACAGTTTAATAATTTGGCCAACAGGACAGCTGCTTTGGTAAAGGAATTGAGTATTTATTGAAACACTTAACTCTAACTTTTTCTCTTAATTAAGGCTTCTTGAGTCCAACAAACTCAAGTCAGATCACTACAGGAAGAATTTCTTGTAAAGACAGAATCAAATGAAGCGCCAAGGAAATCATTCAGAGCACCTACTGTAAGTACCTCAACCTAGATATTGTAAATATCTCCATGTTTCCTAGTCTTTCTATGAGACTTCCTTGGTCACATCAACTTCTATTCACCTATCTTAGCAATAACGTCCAAATCCAAAGGCTGGCCTTAACACTAGACAGCAATGCTTTGGCATGTGCATGAAGAAAGTAAACTGTAGTCTGAGCATTAAACATGGAAGTATTATCCACCCAGGAAGTGGTCTCCAGAAGCAAGTGCCGTCTTCAGTTCCTCTTGTACTTCATTCACAGCTTTCTAAATTTTCAGGCTGTGTTAACTGTATTAAGGCATTGTAGCTGTGACATCATGGTGGAGCACATTCTTCCCAAACTTGTGATAAATTGGGTAAATATGGTAATAATGAAAGCAATTGAATTCAGAATGAAATACCCAGTGTTTTTGGTTTTTTAATTCAGGTGAATTAAGTGCAGTATAAGCATGACATGACCAGAGTTCTTGCAGATTTGCAAAACTGTACGGTTAGCTTTTAAAAGGCAGGTAGGTAGTTCTTTTCTCAGCTTTTTGAGTTTGCTTCTAGGTTTGTCTCATCATACGGAATGGGATTCATTTTGCAGCTTGTTCTCCTCCTCCCATCCAAGAGAGACTTGAGGGTTGCATAGAGGAAGTAAAAAAAGGTATTTTGCATCATTTAATTATAAGCCCTTTAGCTGCCTGAGTAATGTTGATGGAGTCCAGAAAAATGTGTCTTGCCTGCCTTAGGCAGCATAAAATGGGAACATGCTTGAGCTCAGACAGGAAAAAAGGCACATGGAGAGACTGGAACAGCGAACTTGCACTGGACAAATGACCCAAGCGTGAGAAAATTTACTGGCAAAATATTAACACTTCATCTTCTGAAAAGCTTGACATTATCAGAAAAGAAGGTTTCACTGTACCTTTTGAAGAAAAACCCCCAAAAATCCAAATATCTATTGTCAAATCCTAATTCCCTTCCGAGCTAATCAGGCTTCAGTTACTTGAATCGCTGTTGTTCTTTCTGCAAGTTGTATACTGGTGCGATGGGTATATCATTAAGTGTCCCTCCGCTGGAAGAAACAAATCACAGTTCTCTATTGCTCTAGTTTCCATCCCTGAATTTCCACTGTTTTTCTTGATGTTATTTCCCTTTTATAATCATGGCAGTGACAAAGGGTAAGGCCCATAGATCTAAACTCCGCCCCCCAACCCTTAGAAAGTCAGAACAAAGAATGACTTGTGAAGTCTGTCTTGTTTAAGGTGAAGGACTAGAAGTTTGTTACAAGTGTAGGGGCTGATCCCACCGAAGTCTATTGGAGTTAGGCTAATGAATAGGGAACTTCTATCAATGTGTCTTAGCTGTCTTCAGATTCTTCAGCTGTTGAGCTCTCTTGGCTATTCTTTCCAAGTCCATAGCTCCAGAGGTGGAAATTCTCATATCTTGTAGCACATACCCAGACAAATAAGGGGGTTTGATCCCACCAAATGGTAAGAGCTTGTAATAAGCATGCCCCAGTTTTGGGTATTGACTAATTTTGCAGACCTAAACTCTCTTTTTGGGGGGAGTTGTTTTTTTTGTTAATATCTTGACTTCCACCTTAGGAGGAGTCAGATGAAATATATAAACTGTGAGTGAGATACGAGCATGACTTCGTTATGATGAACAAAATACATCAGCTGACTTAGTGCTAGGCAACCTCACTGCAGTCAGTCAGGAAAATTGCTGGTTACTAGCTAAAAGCATTACAAGTCTCTTTCTGCTAAAAAGATGGGGAGCACAATAAGGCAAGTGGAGTAAGTATTGTTTACCCAAAATCTCTATTCCCTAGTACTATATCAAGCTACTACTCTGAGTGTACTAATAGATGTCATACAGAAAATTCCATCTTCTTCAGACAGGACAAAGAAATGGAGTATGAACCTAGGGAGGACTGCTCTGTTTTCTGTTGCACCTAACTAAGGGTGTTAGGTTCAAAGACCTCTGTCCAATTATCTTGACTTGTAACCAGCAAGGCTTCTAGTCTTGGCATTC